GACACTCTGATGCCAAAGTAAGAAATTGGGCAGAGTGAGAGCAAAGTACAGAAAAGGGTAAGATGTGAAATTACCTGACCCTCTTGTGGAAGAGGGTATTTATAGAGAGACCCCAGCGCTGGGCCAACGGTCACTTGTGTTGGGATGGATTGACAGGCCCAACCCAGATGACTGCTAGGGCTTACGTGGCGTAGTGAAGACCAGAACGTGGTCTTCACCCTAGTCCAATTGTCCCGTGATCTCTGGAAAGTGGGTTTGACCTGCTCTTTCGGAGGTGGGCAGTTGGTTAGGTGGCGTGTCCCTGCGAAGGGGAACACGTGGAGGACGTGTCATTCTGCCCGACACGGAGAAGGTCCTGCCCGCGTAGGGTGCCATCCTGCCCGCAGAGGGTAAGGTCCGTTAAACGGAGGGGGGCCTTCAGCTCGACGTGGGGGTAGGCCTTCCCCTGCGGGGACCTCGTGCCCGGACAGAATAGGGCCTGGTGGGCCATTATTGGACTGGGCCCGTATGGTCAGCCCGGGGCCGAGGCCAGAACAGGTAGTATAGCATTTCCTCAACTACCGCTTTTGAATTTGTTAGGTCATTAACCTTTCAACATAGCCTTAGGTTAGAGTTTGTAAACTCTTTGACTTTGTTAAGTCATGTAAGTGTTATTGTTATAAATATTTACTTTTCCCTTTCGAACCTTGATCACTATCAAGTGTTCTTCACCCGTAGTTAGATGAACTACAATTGCTCTAATTTCATCCTTGTTAAGATACGTAGGCATAAGACTACAAAGTCTTGGCGAGCACACTAGCAATAAACCTCCTTAGGTTCCCTATCTCATAAAACTCAAAAATAGAACATTTCCAAACATTAGCAAGCAAATTACCATAACACAAATACTTTCAAGAGGTTCCTATAGAGTACTATAGATACTTAGGGTGCTAATACCTTCACTTAATATAACCTAACACTCAAACCTTTAAATCTCTTTGTATTATTGTTACATTTCATAATTAGGGTTTTATTCGATCTTTTCTCTTTCCTTTGGATAAACTAAAGTTCGATGGTGAACATTCAATGTTTTGTGATTCAAGTTAATATAATAGTTTGATATCCAATTCTCACTACAACAAGCATATTCAACCCTGAAAAACATAAACAAAATAAAATGTCATTATTTGATAATTACTAATGTAACTATATTCATATTAACACCAATGTACCTATTGGTTATTGTGTTCCCTATATGAGTGACTCTATTAGTTCAAGAAGTAAAAAATATTTCTTTATATGGTGCCAACCAAGTTTCATGCACATACTGAACAAATACTGAAATATCAACACGTATAGCTTCAAAATGCTTTAAGTGTACCACAAAGTCAGTCTCGGTATTCGATTATATAATGTTGTTCCACATATCCATAACATGTTCATGCCTATGTGATTTGACATACTTCTTACACTTTATACTAACATTTTTTGAAATATGGAACAGACACAACAAATGAGTTGAGTTTGGAAACACAACTTCCACAACATTCATCAACATCAGTTCATGATCAGTAACCAAAACCTTTGGTGGAAAATTCTCATAAGTGAACAAATCTTTTAGCTTTTCAAGTGCCCACATGAAGTTTTCCTCCCTTTCATGTTCCAAATATGCAAAACTAATTGAAAATGTCAACTTCATGGACATAACACCAACAATCTCAAGTAGTGGTAGTCAATAACTATTTATTTTGTACGTACATTAAATCATCAACAACCCCCAACAACTTCTGAAACAAATAAATTAAAATAGAAGCATTTGGCATAAGAAGTACCTATTTGTTTTGTATGTGCAATCAAAAATCAACAAAAGATGAAACATGTTCAACAACTTCACTGAATCAGGGTGTGTCCAAAAGATATCACCAATAACATTGGAAGAATGCATGTTTCTTGTCTGGTACATCTATTTATCTTCATGAATAAGACTCAACGATGTTGCATCTCAGTCAACGAACCTCTCTTGCTCGCATTATATGTAGACCTAGCCTTATAAACCTGGATAATGCTCGTTATTTTTTCCGGACTTCTATCTTTCATAGCAACAACTATGTATATTGGAGCCATATTATATTTGGTCATGTCATTCAAAAACTTTCTTTCATTATCTTTTAAACAACCTAATATGTCATTCCCATTTAATATGTCATTCTGAAACCCACATTTGATTGTAACCATCCAGCTGCTTCCACTTGGCACAGATCTTGACATAAATGGATATTTCATTTTAATAGTATAATTCCATGCAACCACATCATTCTTCTTGTAATTTCCTCCTTTCTCGCAACTCATAATAAATTTATCTTTCCTCCCTCTCATCTCATTTGCGGTATCAAAACAAATAGTAACAATAACAATACGATGTTGTTTACCAATGGACTGCGTCCATGCTAAGACGTCAGCCCGAGAGAGGAATATCTAACATTTACAATGTATACAAAATAAATTATCAATGTATAAGATATCAAAAGTAAGGAGTGCACAATTATGTAAAAAGTAAACATTTATGTAAAACATATCGCATTAGTGGTGAAAAACTTAGTAAAATCCACTTGGGAACCATCAGAAACAGGACCGCACCATTGGAGTATAGTGAAATACTAGATTTTTTGGTCTTGCAAAAAATTAGGTATACTAGACTTTCCAAAAAATTTGGTATTCAACACATTTTCCGAATTTTCAAAATCTTCGGTAAAAATAACATAAAAAACAAACGATTTCGGGTTTTATGAAAATTTCAGTAATACTACAAAAGATTCTGGATGTTTTTTAAAAATACGAAAACAATCAAGGTATTTCTGGATTTTTTAAAAGAAAAATCGGCAAAACTTTTAGGATTTTTCGGTTTTTTAGAAAAACTGCGGTAAAACTACATAAAATTTTCGAGTATTTGCCAAAAATCCGCTAAAACTTCAACGGATTTTTGGATTTTTGGAAAAATTCCGGTAAAGCAACATATGAGATTTTTAAATGTCCAATAAAAAATGCATAAAAAGAAAACATCCTCAAATTTTTTATATCGGATAGTTTAAAACAACAACCGAATATTTTGTTTCTACCAAATTTTTATAGAGAAATATTTTTACTACAGAATGAAAATTTAGAAGCTAAAATAATGAAAATGGTGAATTTGTTATTATGAAAAAATGTGGAGGTGTTAGGTACAATTTGGATGTGGCAGATATATTCCTCGAAACTAACCCATGAATGGCACCCAAGTACCTCTCCTAGTGACAGATGTCGATGATTTTGGAGTAATACACACCTCTTACTTCGCAGCCCTTCTTCCAACCAAATAAAAACAAAACAAAAAGACATGTCCACCTCTTCATCATAATCAGAAGTAATGAGTGATCAAAACTCAGGACTCAAGAAGATCGATATTTTTCTTCAAATCTACAACTAATTCTAATGTGGTACAAGGGAACAAGAGATTTTGGTCTAACAGAGGACAGGTCAGCAATGTAGTAAGCAATGGGGAATTCCAGGTTTTCTAATTTAATTAGAATGTTAACTATCATATTCTATAGTTCGTAGATGACACCATACTAGTAGGAAAGGGCTCATGGAGAAATATTTGGAGCATCAAAGCCATACTTTGAAGATTTGAACTTGTATCAAGCCTACGAGTCAATTTTTTCAAAAACAAATTATACAGAATAATCATAAAGGAGAGTCTCATAAAGGTTACATCCACTTTCATGTCATGTTGTGTGGACTCAATTCTTGTTAAATTTCTTGGGATTTCGGTAGGATCAAACCTGAGAAGAAGTTTAACATGGAACTTGGTGATTGAAATTTTGCAAAAGAGATTATCATCATGGAAGGAGACACATTTATCAATGGGTGGTAGAGTGGTAATGATAAATATGATGCTCAATAGTATACCAATATGTGTTATCATTCTATAAAGAACCAAGGAAGGTTATATAAGATATTATAAAAATCCAACACTCGTTTATATAGGGTGACTCCGAAAACAACAAGAAAATATGTTGGGCTAGTTGGAACATAGTATGTAAACTAAGAAATGATGAAGTTTTAGGAGTGAAAAACATAGAAGTGTTAAATAGGTTGTTATTCAACAAATGGAAATGGAGAATCATCACAGAGCAGGATACAATATGGGCTGAACTCTTATGTCATAGGCTCCCCCTCTCATGTACTCTGTCTTAGGCCCGACCTTGTGCATGAGCAACAAGCTCAACAGCACAGATCCCAAAATTTTGGAGGGCCCTAAAATTTTAAAAAGTCCAATTTTTTATATATTAATATTAATAAATATAAAAAATATTATAAAAAATCAAATAAATTAAAAAATATTATAAAAAATCAAATAAATTTAAAAAATGTTATAATAAAAACTTGATACATTTAATAAAAAATGAGATTGGTCAAAGTCAAAATAATTATAATTAAGTCTTATTTCTATTAATATATAATTATATTTTTTATGTGTTATTTTTAATAATTATAATTGTTTTATTTTTTTTATTTTAGCTCATTTTTAAATTAGAACGGCACCTCCAGTTAATTGGGCCGGCTCTGCTCTGTCTGCAAACCTATAACAAAAAAATCCAAGAAATTAAAGTTGAACCAGTTGAATATTGGAGGGGGGCATACTGAATTGGGAGTGTAAGAGATGAAGCTCACTACAGGCAGGAATGATGCAGGAAGAGAGCCAACAAATTCAATATTTGTATAATTTAACATGTTGTGATATAAAATACATCAAGTTAAATTTAAATAAACAAACTAAATATCGACAGGAGGTGGCAGGATCAGAGTAAAACTTCAACAATTCCCATTTTATTTGAAATGAATAGCAAGTTGCAAAATGAATTCCCTTGTAAATGCGCACTAAATGCAAATATACAACTTTTTTTTTCCTTTTGATAACAACATTACAAAGATACAATCTTAAACTCATTAGTTCATACATCAAAATAATTAGAAAAAAATAACTAATGGTTTTGGTCCGAACTCTTCACCACAGTAACTGGACATGTAGCATTATTCACTACATAGTTGCTGACACTGCCCATTATGGCCCTGAAAAGTAAATAACAACAAAGAGTTAAATTCAATGAAACCCATATATATATATATATATATATATATATATATATATATATATATATATATATATATATATATATATATATATATATATATATATATATATATGACAAAATAGAGTTATAAAAAGCTACAAATATAGTATATGGCTTACCTTCTCAAAGTTCCAAGGCCTCTGTTGCCCATAGTAAGACTATCAAGTGGTATGTGTTCAATTGATTCACATAATTTCTCACGAGCATCTCCCCAATAGATCTTTACTAGTACATCAACCTATGCCATACAAAATCTTAACCTCTAAAACTACTGATAAGCGTGTATAAAGTGATTTTCAGTCTTACAATGTTTTAAAAATTAAATCGTAGTTAAATATGATTCATTCTATATTTATTTGTGACTAAATTTTAGATCCTAAACATAATCTCAAAAAGTTTAAAACGATTTTGTATATCTTCGTAATGATCAAATAAAAATGATACCTTATTTTGTTCCATGACTGTTTTGGAAATCTTAAATACTTCTTGACTAGGATTAATTCCATATTTCTTTGATAATGTAGGGTCAGAGAACTCGGCAAGAGGTGTGATAGCTGCGCAATGATGAAGAGTTTGATATTGTAATTTTAAAAAGAGAACGTGTAAATGTATCTAAAATAATTATAAAATAATTAAGGTATCATTTTAATTAATAATAATTTTTTAAAAACGATTCTGTTAAATCAATTTAGTTGATAACGAGCAGAAACATCGACCATTAAATTATTTGACAAGAAAAAATTCTAAAGACTAAGTAATGAATAATAACTACTTACGTGAACCAGTATCCGCCCAAAGCTGCATTTCACCATGTTCGTACTCTTCTGGATTAATGACAATAAGAAAGATGGTATCACCTTCTTTAAGACTGTTATCCACCATCCATTGCAATGCCTTGATGCTGCATGGTGAGAAATCCATTGCTACACCCAATCTCCTTGTACCTGCCATTGATGATTCACTTGTGTTGTGAAATTATGTGTAAATGGGTGATTTTTGATTTAATTAGTTTTGATTTTTTGTTATGCTCTTTTGGTATGAGAATGTTTAAGGAAAACATAACATAATCCAAAGCAATATTTGAGGTGGAAACTGATGATAGCGACAATTGCGTTTCTCCATTGATGGAGGATGGGTGAGAGTGAGATGTTGTGTCATAACTTTGACTTTGTTTCACACATTGACATTCATACACACTACAAACCAATGAGTTTAATTAAAATAGTTAGAAATTAATTACAATGAATTAGTTGGTTATATTATTTATTTTGTGATTATTATATAAGGTGAAGCAATCAACATTAAATGTATCAATTTTTCCATATTATCAATTCAAAATTAATATTTTATTATTTTATTTTTCTATTTATTGGAGTCTGCTTTATTTTTTAACATAGGATTAAAGCCGTGACATGATTCAGTTTATTTTTTCTTTCTCTATGTCACTTTTATATGTGAAAACACATTTTATATTTATCAGGTTTTCTAGTCTCAATCCATCTCTTTTAGTTTTAATTTGTTTGGATATTATTTTAAGCCGACCAATCAACCACTAATGAATTTAAGTTGATTATATCGATTCCAGTCAGCAAACAAATAAAGGTCCTATTTTTTCTAGAATTTTCTTAAATGCGCGAAGATTATCATTATAATGATCGTCAAAGATTTTAAATATGAAACATTCAATGACTATTCGCAATTCACTCCTAACTAATAGCAAGTCAGTTATTCCTTCATTACTATATATAGAGAAGACGCCAAAATCAGGTAACAAGTTTTAATTACAATTTTATTTCACTATTCTTCCTCACATACTGACTTGAGCGTTAAAGTGTTAGTTAATGCAATCTGCAAGTGCTCGACAATGTGTAAAGGTATAATAAGATTAATAGATTGAAATAAGATTAACCGACAATAAAAATAGGACACATGGTAGTGATCATTTATCTTGACTAGCCCTATTAATCATCTAAAACTGAACATGAGAATATCATAGCATATTATAGAAAAATAGATAAATATGTACGACACACACTTTCATGATGTGCGTATCTAGACGTGTTTATGGCATAACTAATCAGCTTTATCAATCGAGAACGAGACATCATTATCGTTTCTTTAGTAATTTGCAATCGGATATTGAATCACTACCTTTCGGTACATGATCAACATTTGGGTTGCCCCTCCTTTCACTAGCTGGCTCAAATATATTTAAGTTTTCAGATCCTAAAATAATAATACTCATATTTCTCCTTTTTTTGTATTTGTATATATCGATTGAGGTTCGTCATGAGATAGTTCTCACGACTGATTGTTCTTAAGGACTTCTCACTCCTAGTGAGGTTGATCGAAAACAAACAAAAACTGAATATAGCATGCATAAAGTAAATAAAATGAAGGCGATTGCAAATAGAAAATACACTTGAATGAAAATAAATACTTGAATGAAAATAAGTCTGAAAATTACAGCAGAAAAACACCAAGCAGCAAAAACAGAAAGTTGCAAAGTATGGAAGTGACAAGTAACTATTGACCCCCTTATGTCTCAAGCTCAAGTGCATTACTTATACAAAACTCTTAATTAATCACTCATAATTTGTGCGCTACCGTTAAGGTCCACTAACTTTAACTCTTAGTCAGTTTCAAACATCCAAAAGTCACAAAACGCTCCAAAAATGTTGGATTTCATAATTGTCGTTGGGTGTAACACGGATGTGTCATTGTTGGATTAAGTCAGCTAACATAGGTCGTGTTGGCCAAAGTTGTTGCACACATACAAGGAAACATGGGGACAACACGGGTGTTTACCGTAAAAATTGGTAAACAACCGTTGTTCTTCAAAAAGTTTGGTTTATTTGCAGGATCAACTAGTGAATCTTGAGGACATAGCTATTATATTAATGTATTTCTAGAAAATTGATGAACACTTCGACAGTATTCGTTCGTTTAAAAAATTGTTTTGATTTTTGTTGGAAGATTAAACTTTGTAAAAGTTTATAAAGGAAATGCAACGAAGAAGAGAACTTCAAAGTAAAAAGTGCAGTAAAGAACAATTGATAAAATGAAAGTAAATTTCTATTGAATAAAATATGGTGTTTCAAACGTACATTTCTCAATAGTAACTCTTTCTCACTTTGACTTTGATACTTTGAGTAAATTTTGAGTAGAGTACAATAATTGAACACACATAAATTCTAATACTAAGACTCCTATTTATAATACGCCGAAATAACTGTCTCCAACAAGCATTTCTCCAAAAGTTGACACATTTCACTCCGCATGCCCTTGTTTCGCCATAGTTCTCCATGTGTCTCCCTTGAGAAACGGATAAGGACAAAAGACAGTTATCTATCTGTATTTTGAAATTCAAAATTTTGTCGAAGGAAGACTCCAAATCATCTATTCGTCGAAGTGACCTTCTACACTTTAGAAAATATTTCTAAGATTTTGTCCAAGCACGTCTCCTTATGAGAGTCATTTCGACAGAACTTCACACTAGCTCATGTAGAAGTCAACCATATTTAAGAAACTTTAATTTTCACTTAGTTTCTCAAATGGGAATATGGCGTCGAAATTCCCAGCTAACAAATTGCCCCCTAAAAATGTCATTTTTGACTGAAACGGAGAAAAGGGCATTTTTTTAATTTCCATATTCGACGCCAGAAACCTTTGGACTGCTTATGACGTCATTGTCATCATGACAACTTTCCCCAAAACGTCTCCTCAAACCCATCCGTGAATCTTTTCAATCATCACACATCTAGTCCCTAAGAGATAATGAGTCAGATTTTTAACTGCTGCCGTCTCACCACACAACCCTCACATGACACGCGTCCCATGATTTTTATCACCATTAATGTTATACAGTAACCGTTCCACTTTATCCGTCTATAAAATAGTGGAAAGAACCATTTTTTCTCTTTTCACTCTCTGAACTCTCTCAAGCATATTTCTTCAAAACTTCATCTCCTTCAAATCTTTTCTCTGCAAACTTACTACAACAATGACTTCTACTTCAAAAATCTCCAAGGAAACAAGCAAGAATGCCAAAGAATCCACGAGATCTAAGGAACTTGCCCTAGTTCATAAAATGTTGGGCCCAAATGTGGTAGGAACCCAATAGTATATCCCTGAACCTACAAATAAAGAGGAGGAACGCGGGATCTATCAATCACAAGTACTCATTCCCGTTCTTGTTTCTGGTAAGACCCATGCTAGGTTAGGTTCTCTCCCTGATCTTGCTGCTGACCCTGTTAAGGTTAGGGAATTTTTTTCCCGCTTACCACTGTTACAAACCCATAGCCAACTGTTTAAAACCTATGACTAGTGAGGAGATCAAAATTTATGAGAAAGCACAGGTAGATGGTCAAGGTTCTCCTTTGACCATAGCTTCTAGGGACCCAATCAACTTAGAGTTTATGAACACCAGTTTTAGGATTTTCAGGTCATGTCCTTTGTCCAAAGACCCTTCTAATTACTTAGCTTGGTTAGACAAAATAAAGAAAGAAAAGTCCCAAGTCTGGAAAGACATGGGCGTCTTTGACCTAATTCAGCTGTCGAAGGTGGGGCCAGGTGTCGCAACTGCGAAAAATAACCTGGCAGAAAAACAGAAGAGTCACCACTAAACGTTAGTTATCTCGACAAAGGAAAAGGAAATGATCAAAGAAAACCTCAAAGAAAAGGAGAAGACATGGTCATCGCAACCAAATATTGGATTCGGGAGTAGGTTACGCGAGAGAAAGGTATTATCACCCCCTCGCGTCCGTTGTACTCAACGGGATCCATGTTTGTTGTCTAATCAAAGGGTGTGTTATCTAAAGCCTACTGCTAAATAGAAATGATAACAAAATGAAAAACAAAACAAAAGGAAAGAGACTCGACAGGATTTTGCTATCCTATGCCTACGTATTCCCTCGTGCAATGGGAAAGTCAGAGTCAATGTAGTTCGGAAAACTACGGGTGAATGGGGAAGGTTGCTCGCCAAGACATTGTCGTCTTGTGCCTGAGTATTCTCATCTGGAATGAGAAATCAGAGCAGTCGTAGTTCGGATTACCAAGGGTTGCTTAGTGTTTTTTAGGAGCGATGTTAAGTTCCTATTTCAGTAGTTAGGGTCGAAACCTATTTGCGGTAGAACAGAAAAATAAAGTACTCTTTCTAAAACTGGTTTGATAAACAATCCCGAAGGATGAAAATAATTTGAATTTGTTTGTTATTTTTAGAGAATTGAATTGAATTGGTTTGAGATTCACATTACACTAAAGTCTATGATATATGAGCGAATGTGTCACATGATCGACCCCAGACGGGACGTACGCAAAACTCTCTAGACGATGCAAGGAGAGATCCCTCACTCATCATTTACCATATACTTAAGGCTCGTGGCGCACAATTTTCATTGTATTTATTACATGTTTTGACGTTGTTTTGAGAGAGAAGAAGAAAGACGCACGAAAGGTCTAAGGGGAAACTCGGTCCTAACATTGTCATGCAAAATGGTCCTAAAGTCAGGATGCGGAAGGAAATTATATCCTAATGTTAGCATGCAAAAGATGGACCTAATGTTGAGGTTAAAATGGACTAACATAATGTTATCATGCATAGATTAAACTCCTAATGTCTATCCTACTCCAAGCTTATCGAAAATTAAGTTGGACTAGGAGGCCTTAAGGGAGCATGCAAGAACAAGCCAAAACAAAGAAAACAAAACAAAAACAATAGCTACAACAGCGCTTCCAGCTCATAACAACAATAGAATCCAGCACACAAGCAAAACAACTTTTAACAGCACATATTTTCAGGCAAAAGCAAGTGTAAAAGGTAGCAAGGCAGAACATGTACATTTTATAGCATGTATGTAACACAACAGCATTGTATACCACAACATGCAATGCATCAAGACAAATGCATATGAATAGGCATCAATCATAATATCAAGTATGCATTCAAGATT